AGAAGAAGAAGAAGAAGAAGATTAGTGCTGAGAGATGACTTTACGACCTGCAGGTTAAATCAAAGTACCTTTAGACTCCAGGCCAACTTTGGATGAATTTAGCCACTACGTTGTTGTGTTTTGTTCATTAATTCAACAAAGAAGCAGTTTAAATTAGCTATAATTCTTGGCAGAGGCTCATGTTTGAACATATGTCTAAATACAGATCTGGAGGGGATCTTTAAGTTTACGATACCAGTGGATACCAGTATAATACCTGTATACACTGTATGGGAATACATTTTGCAGTGAAATGCTTACAAATGTAAATACCTTTTGAGACTACTTTCAGTGTCTTAATATCTGCTAATTAGTCATTAGATGATTTGCAGAACTCTTGGAACTCTATTCTACAAATTAGGAAACAGGCCTGTAGTCAGGTGTTTGTGTGACTTTGTTACCACAGTGTTTGAATACTAAATATTTGAAAAGGACAGATGACATTTTTATTTGTCAGTGTTGTGCGTGTTTTGAGATTAGACTTGACATTTGCTGGCTTAAGCGTGCCCAGCATCTTTAATAAATGTTAATATCGAATACCAATATTAGGACGTGCAAAATCTTGATTTTAGAATCAAGTAGCAAGAAGAAAATGAATGTAAAAAATGTATTAATCAGTTGTGGTTGTGTGTTGTGTGTAGACCTGGAGGTGCAGCTAGAAGAACAAAGGAAGCAGCAGCAGGTGCGAGCTCTCCTGTCCTGCCCACAGCCTGCCAAAAACAAAACTCCCACCAAGCGCCAGAACAAGCGGCCTCGTCTCCAGAGGCCCGCCTCCACCACCACCCTCCTGACCTCCCCCGTCAACCAGCAGGCTACTCTGCAGCCCCAGCAATTCACCGTTCTTTCCCCCATCTCTCTGTCCTCCGTGGGTCAGCCGTTCACCGTGGCAGGCCTGCCCATGGCCACACTGGCCCAGTCCTCCAACACGGTCACCCTGCTCCCCGCCGGCTCGCAGCTCTTCACCCGCTACATGGTGACCGGAGACGGAAAGGCGGACACCATCACCTTGCACCCGTCGTCGGGCCTCACGCTCGTTGGCACCACCGCCATGCAAGACTCCAGCCAGCTGGGCACGGTGGTGAGCCCCTTAGAGCTGGTGCACCTGAGCCAGCAGGCCGGCAGCACAGAGGTGGTGCCCATCGAAGGCCAGGTGGTGGACGGCACCATGCTGGTGCAGCAGGAAGTGATGCAGGGCGATGTGGAGGCCGGCCAGGAGCACACGGTCATCGAGATCAACCCGGCTCCGATGGAGCAGGCGGTGGGAGTGATGGAGCTGCAGCTGACCGGGGAGTCGGGCCAGGACGGGGCGGCAGTGATGGTCCAGAGCGGGATGGAGGTGACGATGGCTGCAGGGGGGGAGGAGACGCAGTGCCAAATGCAGGAGGCGCAGACTGAAGGGGTTCAGGGGCTGCAGCTGGATGCCAGCGGACAGTTGTCAGGCGTACAGATAGTGGTGATAGGAGAAAACACTCAGGAAGAAAACAAGGTCAAATGAGACACAACTCCTATTTTATCCAGCAGAGCAGGTCTGGACTCGTACTGAGCTGCCACAGACTTGTGAAACTGTAAATACACAGAATTTCCAAATCCACAAATTGCCTTGGCCTAAGACCAAGCACTAGGGTAGCCATTGTTCCTTTTTTGGTGTGTGTGTGTGTGTG